GCATCCTCCCCCTCCTCCCCCAACTAACACCACCACCTTTTCTTCTCCCCCAGGCTTCCACACCACCCGCGACACGCGCACGCACGCGCCCCTCCCCTTCCTCGCCTACTACGCCGCCATCTACCCGCAGACGTCGCTCCGCCCCACCGTCAACATGCTCTCCGGCGGCGGCGGCGGCGTCGCGCGCAGCGTCTTCACGACGCCGCCGCCCACCTTCACCAGCTCGCTCGTGCCGCGCGAGTCGTACGACACGCCCGTGGAGGCATCAGCATCGGCGCCGGCGCCGGCGTCGCTCGCGGGCGTTTTCGGCCCTACTGTTACGTTGCGGTTGGGTGATGTGGTGTTGGCGCGGTCGGGGGACAAGGGGCCGAATTTGAATGTTGGGTTTTTCGTGAGAGGGGGTGGTGGTGGGGGGAGGGAGAAGAACGAGGAGGAAGGGAAGGGCGGAGGGGACGAGGGCGAGGGCGAGGAGGATGTGGCGGACCTCGCGTGGCGCTGGCTGCGCGCGTATCTGAGCCGCGAGCGCTTCATCACGACGCTGGTGGGGGCCGAGGACTGGCCGGCGTATAACAACGATCAGTATTCGAATGACGAGCGCGAGCCGTATCACGTCGAGCGCGTCGAGTTTGCCGGGATCCGCGCGGTGCATTTCGTCGTGTACGGGTTCCTGGGGAGGGGCGTGGGGAGCTGTGCGAGGCTGGATTGCTTTGCCAAGGGGTTTGCGGATTATGTGAGGGATCGGTGGGTCGAGGTGCCGAGGGCCATGTTGGCGCTGAGGAGTAAGGATGGGAGGGTGGTGGAGGAGATTGAGAGGGGGTTGAGGGGGTAGCGGAAGATGCAACCGTTCTTGGGTGCCTGGGCTGGAGAGTATAATATATCCTTTTCTTGTTGGTGGTGAATGTAGTTGCGGAGTGGCTCTGTTTGCAGTCGGAGCAGATATCTGGGCGTGGTTGTCGAACTGGGCCACAGTGAAGTACTATATGGCTCGATGGATCAATATTGGCTTGTGATCCTACGAGCACGTGGTCGAAGCCGAAGACGCTCCTGGGTCCGTGAGCGACAACACAGGAGAGCGGCAGCTTTTGCTGCACAGTCACTTCTCAACATCTAGGCCCTGCACGCGCGTGCTTGACTGTTTAGTCTATCAGGCTTTTCACCGCCTTCCGATCCTCCGTCCATCCAAAAACGGGATCTACATGACGTGGACTTGTAGTCGCATGTTCAATCAAGCCACGTCTGTACCAACTGGGCTGACCGAGATCCAACCACTGGCACACGGACCCCGCGCCCAGCCAAAACCCCGACCACCACCTCGCCTTCAATTAAATTAAAAACCCCCTTCTTCAAAGACCACCTCGAACTTTCGTCCCCGATGGTCACCACCCACACAACGCCAACCCCCGGCATCCGTCAACCATGGGCAAACACTCCAACTTCCTGAGCAAGACGCTCAAGACCATCCCCTATCCCAGAAAGGGATCGGATCGGCGCCTCAAAGACGCCGAGATCAAGCTCTCGCAGCTCGAAGAAGAGCTCGCGCTGCACAGGCGGCGAGAGGAGCTCACCGGCAAGCAGCTCGCAGATGCGCGGGCAGAGAGCACGCTCTGGCAGAAAAAGTACGAGCAACTCCACGCCATGGTCGGACGGCACGTCTGCGAGCAACAGCAACCCAATCCCCACCCGAAGGGACCTCAACCACCACCGGGCCCGCCCCAGCGCCGCAGCACCACCAAAACCGTCTCAAGCCCGGCAGTACAGCTGCTGCCACCAACACCGGAGGAGGACCACCTGCAAGCCGAAGCAATCGAAAAACCCGTCGCCGTCGCCAGAACCGTCTCCATCCCAACATCGAGCCCCTCCTCCTCCCTAGCCCTCGCCATCCCCTCGCACCAAGGAAGCAACAGCAGCAACAACAACAACAACCACGAGGACTCCACCTCCACCATCTCCCGTACCTCCACCTCCACCACCCTCACCCCGCCCTCCCCGTGCTCCACCCTCCACCACCAACCCCCACCATCCACTACCACCACCAAGTCCAACCCCAACTCCCCCTCCCTCACCCTCACCCACCCCACCAACCAAACCCAAACCCAAACTCAACTCCTCCCCCTAGTCCCATCATCCCCCTCCCCTTCCCCCCACCTCGCGGCCGCCATCACCACCCCCACGATCTTCTTCGCCGCCCTCTCCGCCCTAGCCGCCCATTCCTTCCTGCATCGCGACGACCGTGTCGTCGACCGGCCGTCCGTCTACAGCCCGACGGCCTATGGCCTGGACGCGGACGCGGACGCGACGCACGCGCCGGCCGGCAGCGACGTGGTCGTGCGGCTGCTCGGCCTGGGGCTCATTGTGGTTGCGGTGCTGGGGGAGGTGGTGGTGGTGGGGTGGGGTCGGGGTGGTGGAGCAAGGAAGGTGGTGGTGAGGGGGTTGGTGTGCGAGGGTGGTGGGGACGATGGCGGGGAGGATGAGGAGGGGGGGGATGAGGATGAGGATGTGGATGTGGAAGGAGAGGAGGACGAGGATGAGGGGAATGTTGAGGAAGAGGATGATGAGGATGAGGATGAGGAGGAGGAGGAGGAGGAGGAGGAGGAGGAGGAGGAGGGAAAGGAGGTGGCTGTCTACGTCAACAAACAGGCGGCATTGTCGTCATCGTCGTCGTCGTCTTCCGTACAGCGGCGCTGGGCCTTCCTGATGGTCGTGTGCGACGAGACGTGGTGTGCGCTGCTCATGGCCATCTTGGCGTCCGCGCTTCTGTTGTTCGAGGTGCTGGATTTCGCCTTCTTGTAGCAAGGTCCCTCTCGGCCTTGTGTTGCTCCACTGGTATGTGAAGACCAGACGGACTTGGAGTAGGGGGAGTTTTCTCTATCTCTCTCTCTCTCTCTCTCCCTCTCCCTCTCTCTCTCTCTCTATCTCTTTTAACATCTCTTTACTCTCATAACCTCCCAGGTGGATAGACGGCCCTTTCACGGTTCCAGAGCGGAGAAGAAGGAGAAGAAGCATTTAATGAGCGCTTTACGACTTTCTCTTGTTCACAGACGATACGGATTTAATGTAGACCCTTCACGCAACAACATTCTCCAGCAATAACTGCCTAAACCCAGAAAAAAAAAATCCAAGTCAAGAGCGGAAACCACATCATTTTTTCACACACCATCTGCTCCTACCAGATCTCGGGAGCAGGTTACAACTGTCACGAGACCCCGTCCACGTCCCAATCTTGACCCAATTTAGTAACATGATGCATATTAAAGGAACAGCGCATAAAAAGTCACTTACTCTCCTTCAGCTCATGTCACAACACCCCCCAGGCCAAATGATGACACGGCGCCAAAAGTCAGTCCCGTTACAGAACCACACACACACAAGACACACAGAGGAAGGAGAGTAAGTAGACACCGAGAACTGATCAATCACATCCAGACATCTCTCATATCTCTCTCGATTGAAGCCATGCGGACCTTCGCAAAAGACAAACAAGAAAGGAGCAGATACTCTGCATATTGTACAAAAAAAGGGGGGAAGGTAGCTGACGGGGCGGGCAAAAACCATGTGAAAATTGACATCTTCAGAAGCACTTCTGATGAAACAGCTCGAGCCATCACAACCATAAAAAACAACCCAATTTGGCTGGCTTTCGGCATCCAACAGTCCCACGCGCTTGTGGTTGCAAAAAAAAAATGCAATCCGCACGCATGAAAAACCAAAAAAAACTTCGAGGTACCAAAAAATCGAAGAAAAAACGATGTCGCTACCAGCATGGGGGCAATAATGCATCTCTCGCTCACTTTCTTTTCCCCCCTCCTCCCCTTCCTACCACCCGAATCCTGAAGAACCAACCAACGAGCCTTATATCCGCAGCAGCAAATTTGCTCAAAGCAACTTCGCTAATCCCGCCAAACAAATCACGAGACGCTACTGAATCCAGGCGCACCTGCTCGCGGTTTAAGGAGCCATCAAGCGTTAAGAACCGACATGCAGAACTGAGCAAGGAAAGAAAGAAAAAAAAAACGTGTGTTCAAGGCGCCATGCTAGCCTTGTTCAGAAGAAACGCCAGTCGCTGGAATAATGGAGAACGGGCAGGAACCAATGACAAGACCCATGCTATACAAGGGGGGGGAGCAGGCCGATAACTACATGAAAGAGAATAGCGCATACCGCAATGCAACTGGATCAATCCAAGCTTGGTCAAGTCATGAGCAAAATGTGAGGAGAAAAAGAGACTCGTTCGCCGTGACTCGGATCAACGTTGTCAACTTTACAATTGGTTCGGAACCTCGGCCTCGGGCGCGAAGATTGCCTTGTTGTGCTCCAAAAGTGCCTGGACTGCTGTGCGCTGCGGTCCCATGTCCGTCATCTCACGCTCGATCGTCTGCGGGCGCATGACGGTCGGAGCGAAAACGACAGCAATGTTAACGGCCGTCATCTGAACCGAGTCAGCAAACTGTACGAACAAGTATACGCCCATGGGCAGGAGCCACTCACCAAGTTGTCCTTCTTGTGTTCCATCACACGGGCCAGGTGGAAGACGAGGAACTCAAGGCAGTCCCTGTGGTGCTGCGGAAGACTATCGATGGCCAAACGCATGGCGGGCACCAGCTTCTCGATATCTTGATGGAACTGACCGGCGGCCAAGAGCTCATCGTAGACTTCGAACGTGATAAGAGGGTTAGGCAGTCTGCGGAAGTACTGCTTGAGAGCCGAAGTGACAGCGTGAATATCCAGATCCGGGTCGGAGATGTCGTATTCGGCCTCCTTCTCGAACCCAAGGCGCACTTGGTTGACCTGGCCAGACCCACCACTCTTGCGGTAGATACCCTCGACATCGACACCTACGTATATCTGTTAGCATATCACGGCGCTTTCCGTCGCGGTCGAGTCTTGTTCGCGCATACCTCTGAGTTCCACCTCCTGGATACACCTGCGGACAATGCTCGGAATAGTAGCCTTCTCAAACTCGCAACGCTCAGAGAGGTCGGAGCCAAACAAACCCTCCGCAGCAGACAATTGAGTCGTGCTGTTATTGTGGTTATGCGCGGGCTTCTGGATAGGCCTCTGGACGGCTTTTTGCCCTCCACCAAAGAAGCCACCGAAACCACGATCAGCACCAGCAGCCTTCTGGGCCGCCGATGGCTCAAGCGATGGCGTGGCACCGGGTTGCAAGGCCCCGTAGGGCGCCCCCCCAACGGTGAGTGCGTCATGCTGATGCATTGGCTGGGACGCGAACGCTCCCTTGAGACCCTTCGTGACGTTCTTGGCGACGGCTTGACCGCCCTTCTTCCAGTTGAACTTGTTCGCCTTGGGCTTAATCTGGATGACCCTAGGCTGGAGCACAGTGCTCTCATCCATGTTATCGGCTAGCTGGTTCATCTGGTGCTCCTGCACAGCCTTCTGGATTTCCGAGATCGAAACGTCCTTGTCTTTACCGTTGTTCAGTTGAATACCCAGGGCGTTGTTGGCCTGGCCGTTAGTACCGCGGTTGGAGGACTTGTACAAGTCCTGGATAGTTTGCACAAGCTGGTTGTTGAGCTCGGCAAGCTGCGTGTTCTTCTGGCTGAGACTCTCGTACTCCTGGTAGCCCTTGTCCTTCATCTTGATGAGGCTGAAGATGTCATCGTTCACCTCGTTGCGCTTCTGTACCGCTTCCTCTATCTCAGTCTTGATCTTTGCCTTGAACTTCTCCAACTCGGAAGCAAAGTCACGGAAGAACGCAGACTGGAATGCTTGAAGATCCAGCGGCCGTTGCTGATCCTTGGCGGCCTTCAAATGCTCGGTCATGATGTCCAACTCACGCATGACAACTTCGCGCTGCGTATCCAAAACAGCGATGGTGGATCTCTTGTCTTTTAGTTCCGCATTCACCTGCTTGATATCAGAAGATTTGCTGGCCGATTCATTCAGCTTGCTGATGTCAGTCTCAAGCTCGGCAATGCGATGCTGCGCCTGGCGGAGCTGGGCCCTAAGGTAAGCGGATTCATCCTTGGAGTCCGGGGAGGCGGAAGATGGGCTGCCGATGTCCACCGAACCATTGTGGGGCGATTTCCACTTTTGCGAAAGTGATGACCTGGATCCTCTGTCACTATAACTGCGGCCATGTTTAACTGCATTCGAAACACGTCGGAGAACTGACGAGTGATTTTCTTCGTTGTCCCTGAAAATGCGAGCCATATCTTCATCCACCGAAAAGTCGCCACCGGCACTGTAGCGGAGGAGCGAGGGGGACATCGGGTGCGTCGAGCCGTCACTGATAGTGCTGCTGATGGAGTCCTGTGGACGATGGTGTCCGCTGCCGTGGGGCGGGTGCGGTGGAGCTCTGGGCGTCGTAAACGACTCACCAGCATTGTTGGAGCCAACGACTGGGCGCGAGCCGGATCGGGGAGGCGGGCCATCCAAAATGCTCCTAGAAGTTGGTGATTCCACGGGCTTGGAGATGGTTAGACCACCGTTCATCTGCGTCAGAGTATTGGGATCGCGATTAGCAAGCGCGGAGTTGGCTGAAGCTTTGCGTTCATGACCAGCTCGGGGGCCGGTGGGCGTAGAAGGCGAGGAATGACCTCCCGTGTTCGCCCTCTGCTGCGCACCAAGGGAATCACCTCTCTTAGGCCGTTCAATGGCCGAAGCTGAGTACGGAGCGGACATGGGCTGCGGCTCGTCCGTGCGCTCGTAGTCCTGCGAAGTGGGCGTGTAGCTGGAGTTTGTCGAAACGGGAGACGTAATGGCACTCGACTCCGAGGGATCCTTCCGGGCCGACGATGCGCTGTCGTCCGGAGAGCGGATGTCGGACCTCGACCGAGTCCTGGTCGTCTTTCTGTCTTTCGGGACCTCCTGCAGCTTGAATCCTTCGCCCAACGACCCCGCGGTGGAGGCTGAGGTCGAGTGCTGAGGACGAGGCCGCTCATTGCCAACGCTGGGCGAGGAGTTTGCGGACGGCACTTCTCTGCGGCGCACAGTGTCGACACGATCTCCCGACATAGCCCGGCCCTTCTCTTGGAACGCGATGTGAGGGCTCGACGTGGATTTGCTTCTCCGCTCCTGCGAGCTAGACCTCGAGGACCCGCGGCTCTCTTTCAGCAGCTCGCGGTGAGACGTCGTGCCAGGTTTTCCGCCATTGAAGTAGTCCCGCTGGTTCTTCTTGTCCTCCTCGATATTGTACGTCCTGCTGTCGGCCAATGGAGAGGGACCAGGCGCAGGGTTCGGGTCGAGGGCAAAAGGCACGTTTGCGAACATGCCGTCGGGGTCGTCGAAATTCGTGGACATGGGCATTGCCGACCGCCTCTTCTCCCTGTAGGTACTGGCCGGCAGAGTTTGCGGTTCTGTAACGGTCGTCAGCACCCCGACGTCACCGCCACCACGCGCTATCTTACCATTGCGGCTGTCGGACGAAGCGGGCGAGGCTTCGCGGAGCAGATTTGCGTTGGCGCCTGACGTCGCAGCGCGCGGGCGGGGCGGCTGCTCATCTGGAGTGTCAATTTCCGGCGGCGTCTCCAGATCGGGCGAGAAAGAGCTGGCATGAGAGGCACCGGGAGGAAGGGCGGGGAGCGACTTATCCAGCACCACCGGGGCCTTTGGATCGGCCAGTTGTCGATTAGCCTTTGTTTTTTTCCGCCGTCGAGCCATGAGCGATTCGTGGCAGCTCATGCAAAATATGCCCTGCGAGGTCCTCGCATAGCGGAGATTCTCGATCTTGCGCTTGCAGTTGCGGCATCGGAAGCAGCTCGCACAGAAGGCCTGGTCGCCGGTGAGGATGGCGAGATCTTCAATCTTGCTGTTGCAGGCGCTGCAGCTGTAGGTGCAATTGTTGCAGATGAGGGAGCCGTCGCCGAGCAGCAGGAGGTTCGCGTCCGAGTCGAGCAGGGTGCCGCAGGTGTTGCAGCGGAAGCAGTCAATGTGCCACCGGTTGCCAGCTGCGGATTCATCGTCAGTACTGCACATGGCGGCGGGGGGGAACGCGCGTCTCGGGGCCGGAGGAGACGGCCACGAGGGTCGTCGCTGTGCGGGTCAGGGGAGCGTGAGGAATTCGTGCATACCGAGCTCGAAGGCCTTGCCTTCCTCCAAGATCTGGCAAGACATTAGCGACGTTCTTGGATCCCAATTGAGCGGCGGCGGCGTACCTCGCCACAGCCCTTGCAGTGGTAGATGACGTCCATCTCGTCCATGCCGGGCGACTCTGGGTAGGCGCCGGGGGACTCCATGGTGGCGGCGTGCAGCAAAGGGTCGTCAGCCCGGCCAGCAGGGAGTGTGGTGGTGGAGCGTGTCGGGCGAGGGCTTGGTCGCGGTTTGGCCCAGGGGAGCGGTAGGGCTGCGCCTGGTGCGGAGGGCGGGCGCGCTCGCAGCGGGAGGAGGCTCTACGGGCGGGCTGGATTAAGGGAGGCCGCTTCTGGAGGTCGCGAGGGCAATTGCGGGCGCTCGCATGACAGGGCAGGCGGGACGAGGAGGAAGCGTGCGGCCTGCGTGGGCCCGTCTCAGCGGCGGCGAGGGTCGTGGTACGGTCGCAGGCTCGCAGCCGTGTGGAGGGCTTGGGCGAGCGATGGCGATGGTCTGGGTAATCGAGCCCGGGGGACGACTGGGCGGCGTGCCGCTAGCTAGACCACAAGCGTATTAAGTTTCAGGGTCCGCAGACGCACCCACGTCTCCTTCACGCCCACGACCCCCCCATAATAAGCATGCGCGGGTGCCGCGTGGGCCATGGCTACTGCTGCGCGGCCGGCGTGCGGGCTGCTCCTGGGGCTCCTGGGGCCCGTCTTATCGCGCTGCACAGCTAATCCTCCGCCTGCTCCGGCTGCTCATCTGCACGCGGGCGAATGAGCGGCAGCACCAACAGCGCGCCCCAGCAAGCCACGCCGCAGTCAGCGAGGGGCAGAGAGGCTGCTCCTGCTGCAGCTGCTGCAGCTGCCCACACACATGGGGCATCGTGAAACTGGACGCGCACTGCCCGCGCCAATGGCCGGCGAGCGCAGTGCCCGCCGCGCGCCGCCCCAGCGATCCGCACTCGCATGCCGCCCGCTCGCACGCCCGCCCGCTCGCCCATGTTTCTGCTTGCGGCTGCAACTCGCAAACAGTGACACGCGCTTGACGGCTGTCTGTACGACGCCGCGGCGGGCGCCGGCCACAGAGCAGCACCCACGCACCCACGCACCCACCATGGCCGCAGTCCAACGAACGTTGGCAGCCAGAGCAGCCAGAGCAGCCACACGTCAGGGTAGCGTCAGCCCGCCACATGCAAAAATAGCCCCTCCAGGCCGTGCTTGCCGTTTCCATGATCTGCTGCCCGCTGCCCGCTGCCCGCTGCCCGCGGCCACGATGCCGCCATCTCGTCACCCTGCGCTGCTGAGTCGCCGTGACCGGGCCTTGAAACCGTCAGCCCTGGGCGTGGTCTGGATGCTGTTTCAGGAGGGCGTACCAACTGCTCCCCTGCACACGTGTCTTGCTGCCGTTCAAGGCTGCCGTTCCCGCTCACAGGAATGCACTCTGCGCCGCCGCTGCTGCACCGCAAGCGTTGACGGATCTCCAAATTTGCAGGATCTGGATCTGTCACAGAGCTCATCTCCCGCCGCCCGTGCATTGTATATTCACTACACGCGCGCCTACCGGCCATTGCAGCCCGAGCGCGCCTGGGCGATGGGAGATGCCGACCGCTCTGTCCTTGAACGGTCAAGTGCCCACGGGAGCTGACCGAGAGTGTTTCGTCCCACATGGGCGGGGCAAGTTCCGCCCTTGGCCAGCTCAGATTCATCGGTTCATCGACACTGCATCTGCAGGGGACGGCCGCTATCGAGGCCAGACAGCGCTGCCGCGGGAGGGGCTTACACACACCGGCTCCCGTAGCTCACAACTTCGGATATTAACCGCTGCCGTCGTTTCGGCGTCGCTCCGTTGCTCGGACCCCCTCGACTCCTGTCCCCGCATTTTGCTCGACCATCCGACGCCTACTTATAGCAACATCAATGTTTCGTGAAACATTGATGAGGGGCCGACGATCGTTGCCCAGCGTCCGTGTAAAGGGGCCCGTCGGTCTGAGTATTATCCCAAAAAGAAGAGAGAATCATCATCCGCTATCAGTGCCCTTGAACAATTGCGCCAGAAGGGGTGTTCCTGGCACCTTTGTAGAACAGCCCAATCTCGCTCCTAGGCTGACAGCCGGTGCCTGCATGGATACAGTTCAGCGCACGATATCGAAGCCCAGCAGAGGAGCACCGCAGCACGCCGTTGATCTGTTTTCCCAAGCCATCAGCAGTGGTACCTGCCTGCTCTCCTTCCCAATAGAACAGCGTCTCATTTACCCGGCCGCCGTCGCACCGAGAGGGCTAGACATGTGTTCTCGTGGGCCGGTACCATAACCCCTCCTAGACGTCACTCACCACCTGCATCATCCCGATGCTGCATACGCCGCTGCCACGCAGCAGCAAGAGACAGGCGCGTACCACCATTCCGCATGCATGAGACCTCTTCGAAGAAACCTCCCGTCCCAGCCAGTCAACGACCTGACTCTACCACCCTTCGTACCAAACCACCCTCTTATTCCCACGAATAATGCCCATCCACTAGTCTCTCCCGAACACCTTTTCCCCTGCGTCTCCCGCACCTCTAGATCCCGCGCGCCGCATTCCTGCTGCTGCTCGACTTTCCCCGATTTTTTGTTTTTTTTTCCTGCGCGTCATCCGGCAATGCGTCGTCGAGGGGTCCGGTCGCTTATGCTTTCTTCATGTGCGCAAGCAGCACTCCCTGGTCACAACAGAAAGCAAAAAAGGCAAAGGGACCAAGATATGATCAACCCAATAAAACGCATACACCACCCCCATAAACAGACACATCCCAGAGAACCGACCCTTCGCTTCCCCACCCTTCTTTTCCCAATCCGTCCCTGAGAGAAACCCCCTATAACACGCCGCCGCTATTGTTCAGCCAGGCACACGCGCGCGCACACGAACCCCCCCATGCCCACGCATGCACGCATGCGGCGGGAAGGAGGGTATGTGTGCGTGTGCGTGTGCGTGTGTGTGGTATGTGTGGGACGGGGGGTAGCGAACTGCTGTGCCTAGCTAGTAGCACCACCCCCTGTGGCGTTTCCTCACACACCACCCTTGTTTCGACGGCATGCCGTCGTCCTTCCCCCGTCTGCCGGAAGCCGGTGGTGACATCTGCCGCGCTCCGGGCACTCGCCCACGTGCAGAGGGGGCCTGAAACGTAAGCACATGTCTTTGCTGACTTGTGTCAGAAGTAGTCGTGAGACACCACACGGCCACTTACTTACGTTGCTCTATGCTGCGCCTTCTCTATTGTTGGCGGCGCTCGGTCCTATCCTCCCCCGTCCCTTTTCTCTCTTCCTGGTGCACACATGTAAGCTGATTGTTGCTTCTTTTTTTTTTTCCCCCATCTTCTTTGAATGGCCTCGTCAGCGGAAATGACAAGAAGTCAATGAAGGAAGCCAATGATTGCTCTTACGGCTCCCCTCCGTCCTGCAGTCAGCCTTGCTCTGATGACGGCCCAGCATCGCACCGTCCACCAATGAAATGCAAAGAACAGTAGTAGAAGGAAACAGTTGTATAGTAAACAGACCTGATTGCACGCCACTAGAAATAGTGAAACAAACTCCTTCAGGGGTTCGACTCGCCTCCTTCCCGAACGGGCAAGACGGGCATCCCATGCAGTCACTGCCGAAACGAAACAAAAAAAAGATGGAGGAAGAGTCAGCGTCCAATCTCAACCTCACCTATCAGACCCCTTCTTTCTCACTCACATGCAATCATAATAGCAAAATCATCATCCAAACAAAAAAGGCCGTAGAATTAAACAAGAACTATACTTCTCATAAACTGAAGTCAAAAAAGGAAAGGGAGGAGGGAAAGAGGAAAAAAGAAAAAATGGCAAAACGCCAAAGAGTAGGCTACTTCGCCACAAAAAGAGACCTAGGTATATTCGCCCCATAACGCCCCTCCTATGAACCTCGCCCTACAGAACCAACAAAATAGTCCAGAACAAAGAAGGAAGGAAGGTTGTATGGTATACTAAGGGGGCCGAGGACAGACAAGAAAGAAACAAGTGATGAGAACCAAAGGGGGAAAAGGTTCAGGAAATACTGGAAAAAGAGCAACAACCTCCACAGCAGCCACCAGCCCGCTCGTGTGTGCAGTAGTGGTGTAACTCAAGCAAAAGAATGATCAATAATGGACAAGGGAAAATGTTTCCGTCAGGTGTGTGGTTGGAGGAGGAAACGCCAGCTCGCAAGAAAACAAATCGTCACTGATTTCCTGCCACCACCAGCGCCGAAATACTTTTCTTCATCGCTTGATCTTCGCTTTTGTTGTTGCAGGATGGAACGCTTTTCTTTCTGCATTGCTCAACGCTTCTTCCAGACACGCCAATGAACGCCCGTTTTTTCCCCACAGCATCATGCACATCGACTGCCCCATTTCAGTCGTTTCGTGCTTCCCTAGCGGGTATCTAGTTCAAAGGAATAAAACCAATCCACAGCCCCTTGTCGTTTTCAATTTTTCTTTCCCTAGCCGAATTTCGTTATGCCTTGCTACGCCTGGCGAGATAGTACGTGATCAGGTTCAGATGGCCCTTGTCGGCGCCGCTCACGGCCTGCCAGAACCCGCCGCCCTGCTCGCCACCGAGGCGCTCGTGCAGCTGCACGCAGAAGTCCATGTCGGCCCTGCGCACGTCGGGGTCGAGGCTGCCCAGGAACTTCACGGCCAGACGTCCCAGCTGTTGCGCCTGCGTCTCAGAAACCGGTACGTCCTTGGCGGCAGACAACTGCAACAGGCTAGAAAGGGTCTGGAGAGCGAGGGTGACGGTACGTGGGGAGGGAGAAGCGGAGGCCGGGCGGCTCTGGTCTGAAGACACGGCAGAGGCGGGGGATGTAGGGGTGTTGGCGGAATCGAGGAATTCAAGGATACCGGTGATCAGGTCAGAAGACTGGCCGTTCTTGACGATTTCCTCGGCTGTCTTTTCGATATCAGTGGTGATATGGCTGGCGGTGTCCCACTGAGAACGGGAAGCCAGGACGGAGCAGAGAGCACGGGCGTAGTACGGCCCGGACTTCTTGCGGTGAAGGACGAGCATGGCCCGGATAGTGCCGAGAACTTGGGTCTTCAGGTTCTGGGCCTTGATGTTCGGAGTCTTCGTGTCCACTGGTGCTTCCAGGTATTCTAGCAGGGCCATCAGGAGCTCTCCGAAACGCTGGTCCTGCTCGCCCCAAATGTCAAGGTCTCCCTTCACGACATCCTGGAGACGACGGAATCCATGTGCATCAAGTGTCTTGGCTCGAATACGCTCAATACCACTGGCCAGCAGTCGGCGAGTACGGAGGACCTCTGCCCTGTCCTGAACAACCTCTTCGGTTCCGTTCGACTTCTGGCCTTCCTCCGTTTGCTCGCCTTCGGGGGTTCCACTGCTCACACGGCGATCACGGTTCTGCTCATTGACGGGTAGTTCCTCCAGAACTGGCTTCTCGTCGGTGGATGGTCTTTGAGATTCGCTAGCCAGAGGATCCTCGTAGACCTTGACCTCTTCAGTCGAGATAGCGTCATTGATTGCGCGCTCAGGCGACTTCGACTTCTGGTTCTTGTTCTGCGTTAATGCGCGGAGTTCTGGAGAGCTGACACCAAGGCTGGCGGACAAGGAAAGTGGCCGTGGTGAAGGGATCTTGGATGGGGTCGCATGTGGGGAGAATCTTTGGTTTTCAGATCGAGAGAAATTAACTTTAGGGATTACCATCGTGAAGCTATCATCATCGTATTGGCCAAGTCTACCGTCCGAGGTCATGGCGTGGTCTAGCGAAGGACGTTGCCTAAACGGCATAACCATTGTAAGATCCTCTGCCTTCGACGGGCTCGCAGTCACACTACCCAGGCTTGGAGACTTTCGGTGCATAGCCTCCAAACGAGACTTCGGTCTCGGCGGGCTGACGACGGGGCTGTTCTTGTTAGATGGCGCGCGGGGCCTACCCTTCAAAGTGCTGGCCTTCTTGGTCGTGCCCCTGTCTGGGCTACCAACTGGACTCATGGACGGGGTCTCTGCACGCTCGATGTTCCTGTTCCTGGACGCGTACGGGTCTGCGGTCTGGGGGCGAGGTACCATGCGAGGCCGGCGAACAGGCTTTGACATCAGGCCACCACCTCCGCTGGCGGAGGATGTCTTCTCGCCCGTGGCATTCCTAGAGGTTGATAACGCAGAGGGCGGCCGTCCGTGCACAGACTTCGAGAGAGAACCAGCGGGGCGGTCTGCAGCGGAAGGCTTGACCGGGGAAAGGTTAGCTTGCGCAGAGCTTGGACGCTCAGGCATCTTCTTCGCCGCGAGAGCAGCTTTCCTCTGCGCAGCGATTGTGTCCTTCAAAGATGAGCGAGATGATTGCGGTTTGAGCTTCGAGACTGGACCCTTGCTGCTAGCTGGAGCTGCCGTGGCATTGGGATTGTTCGGATCCTTTTGGAGTAGTGATTGCGCCTTCGCATCCAGCGTCTCCATAATAGCTTCAGCCCTATCAGGCCACCATTTGAAGAAAGCCCAGTAAGTTGCCCTGTAGTTCTCACGGACTTTCGGGTTGGCATCCACAAGACCCTTCTTCATGCTGGTGATCGCAGAGTCCAGACCTCCAGCATGCTCGAAGTGAGCCTTGTGAGAAAGGTTCTTCTGGAGCAGTGTCTTTAACCAACCCGCTGAGAACTGGCGCGGCTGGACGTTCTTGTCCGTACAAGCAAACGCAACGTGCTGCATCATTCTGTTCGTGTATGTAGCATGCGCGAAGATGGTATCCACCGTCGCATTGCCATTTTGCGCAGCAATGTTCTTGGTATTGGCGCACATCTTGATAAAGTTTTGCAGCATGATCTCCACCATGGGATCAATAGCGGGGCCCATGGCCCGCGCGAGCTCCTGCACCAGCTGGCATCCGTTGCTGGCGTGAGTCGTTCTCAGCGAGTTGCAGACTTTCAGAATACCGTCTCGCAAGCTCAAAACTCCGGCGACGAATACGGACTCGTGCTCTGTTGGCGCGTTTCCCTTGAGCATCCGACGAATCTTCAAGACGGCCTTTTCTCTGGGGAGCCAGTTGTGTTCCGACTCCCTCCCCTCGAAATGCTGGTGCATGTCCCTGAACATGTCGTCCAGCTCCCTGTGGCTGTACACGTACAGGGGCTCCATGGAAATCGTCTCAGTGGGTGGCGGGCGCGACTCGGGCGCTACACTGTCGGCCATCCTAGCCTCCGACGGCAGAATGGGCAGGGTGGGGATGGATACCATAGATGGCTTGGTTTCCACTTCAGCGGTAGCTCCGGGAAGGCCAAGGTGGGATACGATGTAGTTTGTGATCGTCTTCCGCACGTTGTGCGTGCTCATTTTTTTCTTGAGGTCGTTCTTCGCGTGATCCGGCGCGTTCCTGCATATTCATGTCAGCAAATTTTCTTGTGCGACCTTGCTGCGTGCCAGCGCACCTGAACAATTCCACAACGGCTGATTTCGCAGACTCTCTGACCATGCCGTCGGGATCTTCCAGGTTTGCCACCAGGTACGGGACGAAGCTCTTGAACGGAAGGTTGTCGCTAGCGTGCATCTATGCGGGGTCAGTGTGTTTGTAACACGACAACAGAAGGAATTCGCGCGCGCGCGCCCGATTGCTGACTGACCTTGACGACCCATTGCATGGCGATTTCCTTTGCGCGCGAGTTGGTGCCGCCCAGGGCGCCCTCGCGGACTATGCTCTCGACGCCGGCGTGGTTGTAGGGCCAGATGTCAGACAGCGCCTGCGAGGCGGCATTGCGTTGGCTTTCGCGCGCATCGCCCAGCCTGTCAAGGAGGATGGGCAGCAGCTGGTCGGACTGCTGGGCGACGATCTGGGTCTGGCTCTGCAGACTCAGGCGTTTGATGATGTGTCCGAGGGTCGAGAAGCCGGTGGACACGAGGGTGGTCGAGGTTTGCGCGGCGATGGCAAGGCGCACGCATTCGAAGATGGTCGGCGTGCACTCCTGGGGTACGCGCTCATGCTTGATGCTGCTCTTGAGGGTGTTGAATTGCGTCAATTTGCGGTCGACCGGAGCCGAAGGCTTCTTCAGCGTAGCCAAAAGGCTCGCTGCCTGGTCCTCCATGTTGGCGTTGGCGCAGGCGATGGGATGGTGTTCTGTTGACTGAGGTTTGTTTGGGAAAAGCGACCGGCCGACTTGCTGCTGGGGCAGCGCGGGCAGCGCCATGATCCCGCCCCACTCCGAGCCGCCGCCCAACCGGCCTCTGCGCGCACTGATGGCCGTGCTTGTGCGGACAAGAGACGCCCTTTCTGGCTGCTTCTTCGCAGATTGCCGCGGTCTCTATTCTCGGACGCCGCGCGTGGCCCGTATTTCGCAACGGGCTGGATCGATCTCACTGCTCACTTCGCTTGCTCCGCATCCATGATGCTCGCGCTTCGCCGGCTTGCGGCCACGACTTGATGCGGCGTTCTGCGTGGCTGCACTGCTGACTGGTGACTGCAACCTTGCGTTGTCCCTTGTCCCTTGCTCCCACATCCCTGCCCGACTTGACCCTTGCGCATTCCGGCGCCGCCGTTGCCAACATCCCGCCACCGGGGGCCACCCCCAGCACACTATATCCAGCAAGTACCGCACCGCGATACCGTGGAACATGCCTCTCCCTCCCGTCTACTTCCAGACCATGACGCCCGTCCCCCGCCCCGAGGCGAAGAAGCCCGTGCCGAAACGCAAGCCTCTGCTGCGCCTCGAGCTACGCGACCTCTCGCACGAGGGCGCCAAGTCCTTCCTCGCCCACCTGGATGCTTCGCAGGTCCTCGAGGAGGCTGTCTCCGGCGTGTTGCAGGTGCTATATTCGCCGCATTCGGACATACCGCCCGTCCGCTCCATCACCCTCATCCTGCGTTCCATGGGCGGCGTCGCATACACTACGGGGAAGGACATAGACAGCGACCACAAGGAGATTCACTTCTCGCTCGACTACATATCCCACATCGCCAAGGAGCGGAGGAAGGAGGAGATGCTAGGGGTCCTGCGCCACGAGATGGTGCATTGCTGGCAGTGGAACGCCTTGGGAACGGCCCCAGGCGGCTTGATTGAGGGCATTGCGGACTACGTGCGGCTGAAGTGCGGATTCGTCCCACCGCACTGGAAAAGGGAGGCTGACGGGGACTGGGATGCCGGCTACCAACACACAGGTTATTTTCTTGACCACTTGGAAAAGACCTATGGTCACGGTAGCGTGATGGCTATCAATGAGAGTCTCAGGAGAAAGGAGTATGACGAGGAAATTTTTTGGCAAGACATCTTCGGGAAATCCGTCAAGCATCTATGGAAAGAATATGGGCATTCGCTGAAATGCGACGATGACTGCAAAGATGAGAAACGGACGGATGCAGAGATACCCCACGAGGACTCTCCGGCTGGAGTAGTGTGACTTGTTGCTCTAGGAATTTAGCAGGCATTCTATAGTAACTCTATTCTCCTCTCCCGCTGAATCTAAACAAGATGACTGTTCCGAAGATAACCAAAGATTTTAGTGCGATCCAGCATGTTCCAGGAGCGGCAGGATGACGTAGATAGTCTTTCCTGGGCCGAACATGTGGCCGTTAAGCGTGATGAGGCGCATCCACGTAATCATCCAGCTATCCTCGGCTTGGGGGTTTAATGAAACTTTCCGTGCCCGAGTGAGATCGCTGAGAATGCTGCGCGGGGAGCGGCCTAAGGGATCGACTTCGAAGGCGGATCATTGGGTGGCGTGGTGAAGAACTGCGGAAATATGGTCCGGAGTTCCTCCAGATGGTGAATCTGGTACTGCGATGCCTGTTGGGCCGGTGCCGGCTCTGTAGATTCGACAAAGTGAACGGCGGTCCATCCAAGCTCCTTAGCTGCGCGTACGTTGGAGGCGGAGTCGTCTAGATTAATTTCACTTAGATGAGCTCATCAAGAGATTGGGATATCCGAGGCACGCACCAACAAAGTAACAATCTTCGGATCTCTTGACGCCTGCTTCTTCCATGGCTTTCTGGAACATGGCCTCGTGCGGCTTGCACACAAACTTCTCGGCGCCGTAGTCGCAATAGGTGATGCCCTCGAACAGGTCTTCGATCCCAAGGAGTTTCACGACCCTTTGTCCGTGGTTGATGTAGGCGTTAGTGAACAGCCACAGGCGGACCCTGTTGTGATCGATGTCTTCCAGCATTTTCCGTAGCTGAGGATTCGGCTTGATGACCTTTTCAAGGGGAAGGGCATCGTCTACTTTGCTGTTGTATTCGAGAGGGTCGACCTTGTGATGGCGGACAAGACCCTCGATGGCAAGGCCGTAGTCCTTGTAGTACTTCATGTGCAGGGTGTTGGCCTCTTCTTGGGTAAGAGACAAATGGGTCTGGAAGTACTTGTCTATACAACCGTGAGCAAGATTCACGTCAAGGGGCCGGTGGCACAACGCACCGATGAGGTCCGACATCATGTTGGCAACGCGTGTGCCTGCAGCGGGCAGCCGTTAGCCCTGCGTTCCGTACAAGTTGCCGGAATAGGAAGCATACTTTTGGAGTAAAGCTGCAGGGGTTAGCAGTCATCCGAGATACGAGGTCACGGGACGGAACATACGCAATTGTCGATGTCGAAGAAGAACACGGGTTTGCTCGCAGCTTCCGCCATTGTTGCGGTAGTGAAGGCCCTGGAGGCTGGGAACCCGTGGCGGACACCGGACAGTCGGGGGGTGGGAAGTGCGAAGGACGGTCGGCCGCGGAGGAAAAACTGCGGCTTCGCGAAGAACGAGATCATATGCACTACCACGGCGCGTTGTTGGACGGTGTCAAGAAGGAGTCACCAGGAGCGCTCTCGGAGAGCCACTCGGCGCCTCGGCACCGCTTCCGGCAGAAGGGCACACGGCCGGCCTTGAGACCACCGGATAATTGCGCTTGCAACAAGGTGCTGTGTGAATTTTACACAATTGGATGTCTACAGTCCAGGTCGGAGAAACGATGCGGTCTACTCTGGAATGCCGAGATGACTCTCCACAAACTTGCTGGCAACGGAGCCTGGCGACGCTGTGAGAGCTGGTTGTGCAGACGAAGGATGGCTTGATTTGGAACTGTGCGCAGTCGAGTCCAAGACAAAGTGGCAGTCGTCTCCGGGCACGAGTGTTGCGAACGTGCGTTCAAGGTTTACTGCAGCAAGCCGGGCCCCCACGTCCCTCGAGCAGGGCGGAAGGCTGACGATCGGAAATGTGCATGCTGACGGGGCGGTTGGGTGCTCGGAGAAAGGCGGCCGGGCGGACCAAGGCCAATATTTGGATTCGGCGCGGGTGACACCTCCGTTCCTCGCCCTGCAAAACTCCACCGGCTGCCACTTGGCACCGTGAACATTACCATCCATTTCCTCGCGACTGCACATTCGGCTGCCGCGTCGCATCTGCGTGTGCATCCACTCAGACACTGACATCGCTCAGCGCTGCCATGGCTTCCGCCGCGCCAGCACTTTGCGTGCAGACCAACGGCGATGACCAGCATCTCGCCTCGGAGACGCGCCGCCTCGCAGACTTCTACCAGCAGCTGCTGCAGTTGCGAGATGAGGTGCTTGCGGGCAAGCACCCGCGGCTCAAGCTCCCTGACCATGCTCTAGAGAAACTGCGTCAGCAGCCTCACGCCCGGCCGCCGTCTGCTGCTCGCCCGCCATCCAACGCCGCCCTCAACGGCGCCGCCCCGCATGCCTATCCGCACCCGTCGCATAGCAGCAGCTCCTACAACCCTACCCCTTCTACATCCTTTGCTCGGCCCCAGAGCTCTCAGCGTCCGCCAGCCTTGAAGCCGTCCTCGTCTGGGATTGACCCTGTGCTTCTGACAAAGTCCGATGATCTTGTGCGCGCCGAGATCCAGCTCAAGCGCCAGAGGATCGAACGCACACTCAAGGATCAGGTGGACCAGAAGCGAGTTCAATCTCGCGACAGAGACGGCGGCGTTGATGCTGAGCCGCTTGACGTATCAGACGTGTTGACCAAAGCCCTGGCCATTGCTCAACCGGTATCTGGCTTACGTTCAGAGACTAACTCCCATAGCCCGACCAGTGATTCTTTCGATGAGAACTCGTACTACTCAAGTCAGGCAAACAGCTGGACTTCTAGCGACCATGATAGTTCGGGAACCGCGAGTGCAGTGGACGTGGCAGGTGGTGTATCATCAAACCCCAAGGCCGCGGCAGCACCGCTGTCGCATGGTAATACCGAGGCAGACGCCCAAACTCTCTCTCAAATGGAGATGCGCGACGACATGGAGTTGATTGAGGATGGAGACGAGTCGGACTACGAGCCGCCAGGCGCTGAAGCCTTCACTACCGCTCCTCCGCCGCCTACCCACGGCCCCGTTTCAAGTCAGAATCAGCACAGCACCCATGGTTCGCTTCCCTCCCCAAGAGTGCCCGTCATCACGAACCATATTCAGACACCAGTGGCTCCCCAGCCAGCCCGCGTTTCACCGCTGACGTTTGCCAAAGTGCCTGGACTGGACGCGCCTCGAGGCTCCGCTGCCCAGCCACTCGCAGCGAGCACAAACTCTTCCCCAAGAAATGGTCCCCGCGGCAAGGGCAATGGGAACTCACCGCGCTCAGGCCGACAAAGTCCCGCGGCGCCTCGTCAGCAGAACAATTCACGGAAACGTCGCAGGGAAGCCAAGGAGGCTGAGAAAGCCGATAAGCAGAGGCGAGTGTCGAACAACAACAAGCGTGCTGCTGATTCTCCGGAGCCCTACATCAAGGAAGAACCTGTCTCTCCACCTCCGCTCGCCGGCCTGGCAGAACCCGCCCAAGATGCCCGACGCAAGGCTACGCGCACTGTACAGGACGATGTCGAGATTGTGTCACCGAGGGATGCTGCTCGTCCCGTCTATTACATGGAATACGAACAGCCTGCACCAGCTCCTCGGTACGAGTTTGAGCCGGAGGTCGTTCGGGTTCCATCGCGGATGGCATATCGGCGGTCTGAGAGAGACGATCAGGACTTGAGGAGGATGGCTAGCATCCAACATGCACGACGGCCATATTCACCTTTGCAGCCGGCTCCGTATGAATCAGTGCGCGCTGTATCACATGCTTATCTTGACGGCCATGCCACACCGGTATTCCGAGAAGGATCTGTTCGGCCTGGAGCAACTCGATACATTCGCTCGGACAGGTCCCTTTCTCCGCCATACGCTGTGGACCCTTACCATAGGATCCGATCCCCTGCCATTATGGGTCCTCCGCCAGTTCCAAGACGTGTCGTCATGGACCAATACGGCAACAGATACTACGCGGAACCAGCCATGGTAGACAGGAGAGCGTCCGTTGCGCCAGCTCCCCGGCGAATTGGCGAAGAGATGCTCTATGAGCGTGCACGGACTCGTGAACCCACCATGCGTCCGGTTGCACGCGTGGAGGCTTACGAGGAAGACGAAGCATCGCAAAGGATGCTACCGCCGCAGCCGCGCAGATACGTAGAGCAGCCGGAGCTTGAGATAGTAGAGCCGCATCGCCCGTACCGACAGCGGGAATACTCAATGCGTCCGGGGGAGCCCCTGAGAGAAGATTTGGGACCGGCACAGGAACCTCTGGAAAGGCATCCGCCGGCCCGCTACGAGGAGATGCCGCCGCCTCCTCGAGGCGAGTATCTCCCCCGGGCTTACAGCGTCCGGCCCGACGCTATTCGACGGGAAGTCCCCGCCGAATACATGTCTCGGCATGGCAGCGTCGCGCCGGGCGGTGGCTACGCTCGAAGGGTAGAAGCTCTGCCTCCTGGATATCGGGCTGTCAGTGTCGTGCATGAGGGAGACGGTTTCGACGAGCGCCGTTACGCATACGCTCCGCAACATCCGGCGCGTCGGTATGTGGATGAACCGGAAATCATTGAGCGACCTATGGAGGCGCAGGAATACGGTGGGGAGGCACGCAATATTGCATACAGGTATTGATGAGATACGTTTACTTTGGCATAGCATGATTGTTGTAACATTGGGGCGGACTTCTGGTTTGGCTGCATGGCATGGTTTGGTGGCGGGCGGGGTCTTGCTTTTTTCCGTAGTCGTGGTACTCTCGTACTGGGTGTTGGGCGACGGGACGATCCACAGCGGATCCTGAGCGGGAACGGGAATCACCATCGCCATCATCATCATCATCATCATCGTCAGCATCATCATCGTCAGGTGTGCAATAGTCCACCACTGCGAAACGACGTAATTCTGGTTGGATAGGACGGAAACGAGAAAACTCATAATCCGACGATAGCCCCCACCGAGCAGGCTCCATGTGCGTAATGGGCGCAGGGGATCTGCGCCTCTTCTCCACATGACTGACGGAGGTCGATGACAAGAACGGGGCAGCCTTCCGCCGTCTCGCATTCGATGATCTGACCGTTCAGAGTACCCCCGAGCAGCGCCGACTTGTTCGGGTCGGTCCAGCTGGAGGGCCGAAGCGCAAGCCGGGTCGAGGGGCAAATGCCTCACGAAGGAGCAGCACCTTGCCTTGTTCAGGCATGACGCATTCTTCGCGCTTTGGCGCAGACGTGTGGGCGTGGCTAGTGTCCAGAGGGGCTTGCGAGCGACTCAGGCGTCTTTGTGGTTGGAGGGCTGGCCGGCGTCTTGCAGATGTGAAACGGCCGCCTTCAGAGCGGCAGCGCGGGTCAGTTGTGGAGAGATGCCGCCGTCGTGTCGTTCTGGCCGCTGGCCGCCGCCCTCTCTCAACCATCAGGCTACTCTGACTTGGGCGGCTCCACGCGCCTCCGCGGCTGCAGGCACCATGTCATGTCGCAAGGAAAGAGCCGCGAGCGACAGGTTTCGCGCAGAGACAGCGAGGTGATTGACCGGCCGACGTCCGCTTTGTGGCATTGACACGCGAGCGCCGCCCGTCCGTAAGCAGGACGACACGGCTGGCTCGCTCGCCCGCCCGGACTGCCCTCCCAAGCTGGCAGTGTGCTGCTCGAACCGTGGACGGGCCTTTAGCGCCGTGCGTAGTAGTGCAGCCAGCTCAAGTGCCAGGGAGCCTTCGGGCTCAGGCATTAACTGATGACGGAACAAGCAGCCGGGGCTTCCGCGTGCCGCAGTAAGCGGGTCGAATCAAGGCGAGCGCAGCGTGTGCTAGGGAAAGCCAGAGGCTCAACGCGACCACTCAAAGGCCGGTACGCAGCGCAAGGATTGCACGTGAAGAGTCCGCCATCGTGGTGCTGTCTTGCCCCTTGATCGCCGTGTGAGAATAATCAATAATACATAGCATCGTTTCTTTTCTTTTTTTTTTTTTGCAGCAGCTGCGGCGCGCCCGACCGGGGCTGCTGCCCGGATATGCAATTAAGGTTTGGGCAACGGGAGCGTTCTGGCGTCTGCGTTGCGCTGGGCGTGGAGCGGGAGGCCGGACGGGTCGTGGCAGCACGCGGTGTGGTGCGGCGATGGACGTGTCTTTTTCTAGCACCTGCTGTGGAGTGGAGCGGGCCACCAGCATCGCGTGCGGAGAGACAGTCGACGACGGCGTCCGCAGCTGGCGCTCGCCGCCCCAGTGGACAGGCGCCGGTGCCGTAGTGTACCTGCATGCGACCAGCAGCAGGCAGAGGCCGGGCAGTGGGCAGCAGGTGCCAGACACGGTGACGAGGGATGGACCGGGGCCGGCTGCCGCTGATTGCTGGCGGTGGCTGAGCAGCGCTCGGAGCGCGGCGAGCAGTGTGGGCAGACGTCGCGTGCTCGCCGTCGCACTGCTCATGGAGGCGGCGGACGAGGGTCGACGAGGGGCGGGCTGGGCGGCGGGCGAGTGGCCATGTTTTTTCGGCGGTCTAAACGCGCCCAGCTGCACATCCCTCGACGGCCTCGCGGAAACGGCGCGGCCCTCGAGCAGAGGCCAGCGCTGCATGCACTCGGGCGGCGCCTCTGCCACGGCCGCTGCTGGCCTGGCGCGCTCTGCCCGCCTCTGCCCGCCTGTCTTGCGGCACGCAGGGCGTGGTGTTGCTGGCAGCAGGATCTACGCGACGCACAGCCCGGCTCGCGCTTGGCGGCCTTAGGTTGATTTCATCGAACGAACGCTCCCGGGCGATCCAGTCGTGCCAGTGGCCGGCCGTTCGCCAAATCCTACGCCCTTCTCTCGCTCAACGTCCACCACCCCAGCTCTCCATACCCATCGCCTCACCACCACCACACCCGCACCACGCCTCCCCTCCCCCCTCCATCGCCTTCCTGTCTGTCGTGGGGCGTGCAGCCGGCCACGATGCACAAGATATCCAACATCACCGGCCAGGCCCGCCATGGATGGGAGAAGATGACGCCCTCGATGGGCTTCAGCATGTCACGATCACATAACGACCTCCCCAACCAGCCCGTCAAACGCCCCTCTAACGCCGCCGCCGTCACGCCCACCATAACGCCCGGGACCTGGGTCAACCTCTCCTTCAACGTCCCCTTCGCCTCCAACCTGTCCGGCCCTGACGCCGACGATGTCATCTACGCGAGTCCTGGCGCTTTCGCCCGGTGGGTCCGGCAAGACGAGACACCTGAAGGCGCACTGTCGCTGCCCACGCACACGCTGCCCGTCCACGTCTCCAACGTCGAGAACCTGCGCGCATTATGCAAACACCTGAGTGCCAGCACCAACGGCCAGCTCGAAGCGACCGTCGTGTCGTCGGAGCCGAAGCCGCTGCCGGGCCTGCAGCGCGTCACCACCCTCGTTACGAACGTCTGCCTGTCGGGAGAGGCCGAACAGGTGCGCCAGACGCGGTGCCAGATCCTGAATGAGACGCCCATTTCGCTGGTACGTCACCGCCTGGGAGAGCGAGCCCGTTCGAACGGTTGTTTAGGCGCCGTAGACATGCTGACTTTTCTTCCCCCGGCGCTTAGCGGTGTGCTACTGTGGATGTAGATTACAGCTTAGTGTTTGAGAACGACGGCGTCAAGTCGCACGTCTTGAACCATCTTGATGAGATTTCCAAGGTTACCAAGGCGGATATCTTCCTGCTGCAGCCCAAGCCCATCGACATCGAGTCTGCCAGTATCAACGGCACGCTGCACGATGCGGAGCAGCGCCTTAGGTGTGCCATTTTCGGCGATATGGAGAGCGCAGAGCACGCGAAGACGCGTGTTCTGATTATGATCGATCAGCTTGTACGTGACGTGCAAGTGGCTCGCCTGGCGTGATGCTTCTGCTAATCGGTTTTGTGTCTATCTAGCTTAAACGCCTTGTCGACACCTTGAAGCTTGAGCTCTCCATGCACACGCTCATCTGTGGGCGGGCTCGCAAGAACATCAAGTTGATTGAGTCGGCGACCAACACGGCCATCTACTTCCCCCCGCCGTTCCCGCGTTTGTATGGTTACACGCCACCAGGGGCGGTTCGACGACCGGAGGACGAAATCATCGTCACTGGCGAAAACCCCAATGACATTATGCAGGCCAAGCAAAGGCTGCATGACCTTGTCCTGAGCACCCGGGCGTTCGTGAAGGAAGTAATCGTCACCACCAGCAAGATCGACAGCATTTTGCTCGAGCGTCTCGACAAGGTGCGCAAGATTATCGAGAACAACGGCTCGTATATCTTGCTGCCCCCACTGGGATTCCAGCGCGGTCCGATTCGCGTGCAGGGAACGGATGTTCTGAACGTTGAGCGGACCGTGCGGGAGCTCATGGCTTTGGTATGTTTCCATAAATGTCATTATGCCACTGCGCGATTGCTGATCATGATACAGGCCGGCCAGTTCTACAGTGCTTCGTGGTGCATCACCCACCCCGACGGGCATCAAAGACCCCCTACCCCGGACGATGTGCGGGCCATGCTCTCGGATATTTGCATCAACTCCGGTGCTGAGATCAGCTTCGAGAGGCTTAACTTCCACATCAGTGGATCCGACGACGCCGTGAAGGCTGCCATGATGGTCATCAACAACATCCCCTTCGTTCGCAAGTCTCAGTACCAGATGAGCGTCAAGATCGAGCTCGCCAACGAGCACAAGGAGTTCGTCAGCGGCAAGAAGAACGGCAAGATCAACAAGATCATGAGCCAAAGCAATGTACAGATTGTTTTCGATGGCTTCAACGAGTACAACTTCTACATTGTCGTCCGTGGCAACCGCTACGACGACGTCAAGGGCGGTCTTGATCTTGTCGAACAGGAGATGCCTGCGGCAATCTCGTTCCACGTGCCTGACCAGTACCACAAACGCATCATCGGCATCGGTGGTCAGCACATCCAGCGCATCATGAAGAAGTACTCTGTCTTCGTCAAGTTCTCCAATGCGATGGATCGCGGTGGTCTGGGCAAGGAGGAGGATGACATCAAGGTTGACAATGTCATCTGCCGTACTCCTGCTCGCAACGCGCAGAATCTTGACCTCGTCAAGCAGGAGATCATGGACATGGTTGAGAAGGTTGACGCCGAGTTCGTCTCTGAGCACGTCGTCATCAACCGCCTCTACCACCGCGAGCTCATCTCTCGCATGTCTGACATCGAGGACCTCGAGAAGAAGTGGAACTGCAAGATCGTTTTCCCGAGCACCGAACAGGCCAGCGATGTCGTCACCGTCTCTGGTCCTGAGTACCAGGTGCCCCAGGCCGTCGACGAGTTCTTGGCCATGGTTCCCGAGAACCACGAGATGACTTTCATGGCCACTGTGGAGCTCAAGGACTACCTCAGATCTGACGAGTTCAAGAACGACGTCGTTCTCAAGATGAAGGCCCAGTACAACATGGACATCCATGTGCACAACAGTCAGCCTGGCCCGGCTGACGCCCCTGATCGTTCGATCGAGGCCCTGGTCATGAGCTACACGCGCAACTATGCTGGCGGTCTCAAGGACGCCATCGACTTCTTGATTGCTCGTCTTGTTGGACATGGCCTGGACGTCACCCAGATCATCAAGGGGGCCATCCCTCGTCCCAAGTCGGACTCGTTTGAGGACAGCCTGCCTTACTTCTCGTCCAAGGTGCTCCAGCCTGCCGAGCCTCGTCTTGACTCGACGGATTCGCCTACCCGGTCCGTCTTTGGCGATGACAACCATTCGATCCACGAGCGGGTTGGCTTCCTCGACAGGCTCCGCAAGCCTGGAAGCATGTCGTCCTTCTCCTCGTTCATCGAGCGCCGCAAGAACGGATCCAACTCTCCGGGTTCTTTGTTCACGCACGCGTCTCGCAACGCGTCCAAGGCGTCGCTGGTGTCGCTGGAGTCGACGAACAGCTACCGCAACCCCTGGAACGACAGCGGCATCAACCTGCCTGAGGATGAACACCACCACGCCAATGGCTGGCCCGTACCGGCAGCCCCTGGCTTTGGCTACCACTCGAACTCTTCCAAACTTTCCTTTCACGGAACGCCCACTGCCTCCGCGGCGCCTGGGGACATGACACCCCGGTACGACCCCCGGGCGTCGGTCGACAGTGGACGCCCGAGCACTTCCCATTCTGCTTCTGGATACCCGGCCCCGATTGGGCCTCCTCGTTGAACCAACAAAAAAGAATTTAGCCGTGCAGCCCACAAAAGCTCTTTCTCTCTTCGTCGACGAAGATACCCCGACTGACTACTACGACGATTGAATACCCCATCACTTTCCCTCCCTCGATACCGAAATCTGGCTATGAAAGACAATATACCCCGGGCGCATACAAAAAGCGAATGCTGCTTTTCGGTCGTCGTTCGTCTGTATGTATGCGTGGTGCTTGTTGCGTGTATGCGGCGCGGTTGCTATCCTCTCAATTTCGTCGTTCTACTCGGAGGCGTTATTGCTGCTTGATTCGTCTGCTTTCCTCTCCTAAGGCGCCAAAAGAAATATACCAATTTGCTCTTTGTGCTTTCTCCTAACTACCTACCTACTGTTTAGCCGCTCGTTACCCCCTCGGCGTTTTTGATTGAGATGCTAGTGTGTTTCGCTTCATTCTTTATACTACTATAAACTACGAAATCGCGGTCGATGATGAGGAAGCTTTGCGCGAGGGTGTGGCTAGCACATACGTAGTCTAGCGTACACATTATAGATGTCCCGACCCCATACGGCTGCGATTGGATGCTAAGATGACGTGCGTGACGTTAACGGTGGTCAATGCCAACCCCCAATTGTTGATCTCCCGGAGACCGCGATGATGGCGATATCACTATCTGCTAGGTCCGGTCACGTGGTCGACGGCCGTCGGCTCTCGCGTCGATATGACGCAAAGAAGTCCGGGGAAGCTGTGCGCGACTAGTAGACTCCGAGAGCTCCCCTCCACCCCTCCATCCATCCGACCCCCCACGCAGCACCGTCGTCCCTCGCCTGCTATACATCTCAAAAGAATGGCCTCCCGACGAGCATTGATGCGCATCTCCCTGCGCTCCGCGACTGCTTCGTGCCGCGCAGCTTCCTTCCGTCTCGCCGCCGCACCCGCCCGCGCGCCGAGCGCTGCCGCCGTTTTCCAGCCCGCCGCGGCGGTGCAGAAGCAAGTCACTCAGATCCGATGGCACTCCGCCGAGCACGGCTCAAAATCCAAGGTTTACGACTTCAATGGCGTAAGCGATTTCATCTCACCCTCGTCTCTTCTCCCCCCGGAGTTTCGCTGCTCGATCTGAGCCGCCCTTTCCTTTTTTTTTTCAATTCGGAGGAAGCTTCCCTGCTCAAAGCGGGCACGCACAAGGTTGATGTCATACAAGAACCGCACCGCTAACTCGTACAAAAAAAACGACTACAGATCAAACAGCTCCTCTCCAACCCGGCCCCGGACCGCGTCCTGATCGACGTGCGCGAGCCGCACGAGTTCGCGGGCGGCTTCATCCCGACGGCGCACAACATGCCGATCGGGTCGGCGCCCGAGGGCATCTTCCTGCCCGCGGACGAGTTCGAGGAGCGGTTCGGGTTCCAGAAGCCGACGGCGGGAAATGAGGTCGTGTTTTACTGCAAGGCGGGCGTGCGCAGCAGCAGCGCGGCGGCGCTGGCGCAGCAGGCGGGGTACGAGCGCGTGGGCGAGTATAGGGGGAGCTGGCTGGATTGGTGCAAGAATGGGGGGGAGACGAGCGAGGGGCCGAAGTGAGGAGGGAGTTGGGGGGACAATCTAGGAGGGGAGTTGTGGTTCGTGTGAGGCTGTCGGATGGAGGATGTGGATACTGGAATGGAGCTTCCGCTCGGAAGAGCTCGGAGGAGGGAGGAGGTCTCTGATGGGGTGTGGAACAACTGGTGAGTCCTGATGTTCAGTGACGGTGGACGGCCTGATGGATGCCAAGCTGGGTTATCTTGTCAATCGGCGCTGATGCGGTTTCACAGTCCTACCTCTACTTACCGTCTCGGCGGTTATGCCCTCGGCTCCTGGTCCGGCACTGCCCGGTTTCATGCCGTGGGGCCCGTAAGCGCCGAGCTCGATACGTCATATATCAATATTATTGACGAGGTATACGTCCTTGGGTGTTCCCGGAAAATCGGCACGGTCAGGTTGCGTATGAAGCGTTGTGTTTAGTACCACGCCTCTGGGTGGGATGAGGCTGCCGTCTCGAATAACCTTATCCGGACGTAGTGGCGATCTTTCATCTACTCACACGTGGATTGCAGCAACCATTAAGGGAGGAGGATCTTCATGGAATGGACATGAGTAGGTGTCGAACTGATCATCCCCTCGGACCGTTCTCGCAGGAAAGAGCTCTATGGATTTTACCGACGTTTGATGAGTATGGCCTTGAAATGTCTTAGCTGAAAGGCATTATAGTTGAAAATCTTTGAGGATTTGAACATCCAAGCCGCCCGCGGCCGGTAGATCTATCCCGGAACTATGTTGGGGAACGACGTATGTCAAGCTCAGCGCATGACTATGTACACGATTAGCACACCAATCATGCGCTACTTGGCTGTTCTATCCTTGGACTGAAAACGATTTTCCGCATGTTTTCCACATATGGTCGGCGTGCGAGTAAGAATATACAGCGACCAGTCTAGGCCGGCGTGTCCTCCTTTTTGAACGCCAACCCTCCAATATGTTTCACAGCAAGAGCAGTTCTTCCGTTACCTCGGCTCGATACTAGAGTACTGCGCGTCTATCTCCGTTGAATTTAGAAGCGAGGGGCGCGAGGGACGCGAGGGGCGCGAGGGGCGTGACGGGTTTTCAGCCTTTGCCGGCGTCGGTTGCTGTCGGATCCCCTTGGCGGCCTAACCACCACGCTGCTCTTGAGGCTCAGCTCCTGCACGACTCAGTGTTGTCGGCATTTATGGTGTTTGGCCCTCTGCGCGTGGAAAAGACAAGCGGAGAGATCTCCTTTCATATGGGAAGCTGCCGTTCTATTCGCCCTGCGGCTCGGGGCCCTCGTATTCTCTCGCTTAACCGTCTACCCGAGACGTCTATTGTTTCGACATAGTAGATCCCCCAACACAGCCGTGCGTCTACTTTCCACATCGGACATTCGTAAGGCGTGCATTTTTATATACGTAGGGCTAGCCACGGACACCGTTGGCCGTTGGAGAGAGAGAGAGAGCGCGCGCGCAAAACAGTGGATGGAGCGAGACTCTCCTTCGAAATTCTTTTCAATTCCCCATTCGCGGACCGACCTTCACCTCCCTGGAGGAGTGTAATCATTCATTCTTTTTTTCTGTTTAGCATTGCACGATAGCACCGCCGAACGTGCTTACGACGGACTAGAAATCGTACAGCGATATCCTTGATCAAGAGCACGGGAGCAACCGGGCTACTCAGTACGAGCGTGACGCGGCGCCCCATTCGACCTTTGCTGCGTACGAAGATTTGAGGCAAAAGCATAATGGACATAGTCATGGTAAGGCCCACCTTCTCACCCTCCCCTTGGGCACCCTGGCGGCCTTTCCCCCACTATCGCTCGACTCTTCCTTCTATCTTCTGTGGCGCAACTCTCGTTTTTTTCTACAAGTTCTCCACTACTGCTGCAGTAGCACTACCCTTCACGAGTCACTCTCTTTGGGGAAGCCCTTTTCACTCACTAACGGCGTTTTTTTGAAGATGATACGCAGAGCACGAGACGTGTCGGACCTGGCCACGGGCTGGGACCCGGCCATTGCCATCCCCACTCTGGTGGGCAGCCTATTGTCGTTTCTCGCTTCAAGCATGGTCATCACACTCTGGGCCGTCTTCGGTGCAGAGCGGAGGTCATTCCGATATGCGCTCATTCTAAACCTCACGGTAGCAGGTGAGTACTTATAATGGCCCTCTCTTTCCCTCTCTCGCACGCAACGGTAGAGCTGATGACGGCGAACATGTAGAGTTCATAAATTCGTTGAACAACACGATATCGGGCATTTACATCATCAGCAACCACGGCTCAATCAGCGACGGCCCCACATGTGATCTGAACGGTTGGGTAGGGCAGTTTTCCGTGCAGGTGAGTAGTCCGATCGGACAGACCCCGGACGTATATGTACATAGGTACATACATACATTGGGAAACCCCCGTGCTAACCACAGCACCCCACACACAGGCGGTCGACTTCTCGATCCTCGCCATCGCGGTGGTGACGCTGCTCACGATCCAGTTCAAGTCGTACATCCTGTACGCGCCGACGTACCGCAAGGTGCTCATCTGCCTGTCCATCTGGGCGGTGCCGCTCGTCACGAGCTCGACCGCGCTCGGCCTCGGCGTCATCGCGCCCGTGTCGGGCAACTGGTGCTGGATCGCGCGCGACCGCCGCTACCTGCGCTACGCCCTCGGCCACGCCTGGCGCATCGCCATCCTCGTCCTCACCTTCGCCATCTACGTCTACGTCTTCGCCTTCATGTACCGCCGGCTGCGCCTGCGCCGCGAGGCCGACGGCGGTGGTAGTAGTGGTAGTAGCAACAACGGCCGCTCGTACTCGTTCGACCTGGGCGACCCCGCCGCGTCGAACGGGTTCGAGATGAACTTTTGGCTGGGGAACGGCAGTTTCGGCGGCGGCCGCAAGAAGAACAACAACAACAGCAACGAGAAGGGGTGCGGCGGCGACGATCTGGAAGACGGGCTGCCGCTGCCGCCGCCCAAGGCGTTCGCCGGCACCCGGCGCCGGGACGAGGCGACGGAGAAGCTGATCCCGCTGCCGCGCGTGCGCATCCGGCACACGGCCGACATCGACAAGGACGTGTGGCGCATGGTGCTGCTGAACCTGTACCCCGTCACCTACCTCGTCCTGTGGCTGCCCGGCCTCGCCAACCGCATCTTCGAGGCCACGGGCCAGTACAGCCGGCCGCTGTCGATCCTGCAGAGCTCGACGCAGTATGTCGGGTTTGCGAACGCGTGCGTGTACGGGTTCAAGGAGCATTGGGGGGATATCAAGTTTTGGTGGGAGAAGGGCCGGCGGTGATTGGATCGATCGATCGCGGACGGCCGGGGTGCAGGGCGAGAGCTGGTGACTCTTGGTGTAACGTTTTTGATGACGGGGGGGGGTTGGGGGGGATTGACGCAAGTTTTGATTCCAACGTGCTGCTGGTTCGGCGGGTGTTATAATGCTTGGGTGGGTGGATCCGGCGCTGGGCGGTTGTGGAGGTGTTCTTCTTCTGACGTGTATTCTATTGTGCTGTGAGCCACAGATTAGTGAAAAAAGCTGCCTTTTCTTCGTTCCTTTCTGACTCCGGCCAAGTGGCTAACCAATCATGCAGTTAAACAACCATATAGGCTGCAGCCATGCACTGCCCCGCTTCCCCTGCGGCAGCTTCGACTTTGTGCACACGGAAGTCTCTGCTTCTGCAAGCTCCAGGATGGTCTTCCTGTGAAGGAAATCTCCAATGGGCACTTCGAGGGCCACCGTCGTCCAGCATGGAGGATGAAAGCTGCAGATGCACAGTCCCAGATCTCCACGGCATGCCCGGCGGTGTGCTCTGTTACTGCTGCGGTAGCTCGCCATCGCTTCGGAGGGGCGTGGATGAGCCTTTGGAAAAGACGTATGGTGCAGCACCCCATTTTCGCCACAAGGCCTTGATCAGACCGACCGGCCGACTTCCGCTTGATATACGCCTCATTCCCGGCCGCGACCAGAGCCCGATAGCGTGCCATGTCCTCCGTTTCAGGCGCGAGGAACACCCTGGATACGAAGCCGTCTCATATACATGGGGGCGATCATAATGACCAGAAACAAACGTTCACTCGGTCGGGACCTCTTTCAGTGACAGCCAGCTGCCATGCTGCACGCGCTATCCGATTTGAGGGATTCGATGAATGATCGGTACCTTTTGGTTGACGCGGTTTGCATCAGCCGGAGAAGAAGCACCAGGTACCACTGATGAAGCGGATCTATTCCTGGGCTGATTGCGTCTTGATCCACTTGAGAAACGTGTTCGACTTGGACATCTACCCTTTGTTCGAAGCACTGGGAAAGGGGGAATCTCTCGAGTACCAAGATGGCCAAATCATCGCTTCTCGGTTCGTATCTGAGCCTTGGTTCTCAAGAGCTGGGGTCCTTTAAGAAGCTGCTGTTGCAAAACATACACGCGTAATCATGGGCGCAGATTCCCTTGGTTGGTCTTGTGAACTACAAGCATTCGGACATATCGACCGAGGCGTCATGTGCGGCCAACTTGCCATCCCCGGCTGCAGGACGCTTCAAAGATTTCTGCGACTTTTCGAAGGATACTTCAACGACCTCCAACCCCCGGCCCTGAAGGGTTTGAGCAGTCGGTGGACGAACATCCCGACGTCGAAGATTGGATGTATGAGGGACTCATTAACAGCACAGGAGCAGGCGAACTGGATGGCAAAGATACGAGCTGAGTGGAACAGACTTGAGAGCATCATGCCCGAAGTCTCAATTGATTCATACATATCGAGAACTACACCGGCGTATCTCGGGCTCACAGACAACTTTTACCTCTCGTTGGGCATCTCGCGAAGAGCAGAGGAGAAGATTCTTGGCAACGATATTCTCCACTCTCCATTTCTCGCCATCGTCAGTTCTCCGATTTTGGAGAGCTCTACAGACCTACCTGCTGGAGGCCAAAAGCAGTATTGGGCCTTGGGACCGTAGCCAACATTCCTGGAATCGGCCATGTAGAGGAAGTCAGCACTCTTCAGGCAAGGGTTTTCAGGTTGGACGCCGTTAGAGATGCTCCTGCTCTACAAGGTGGACTGCTAGACTCACTCAAGCTCAGCTGGAACGCCTCGTCGTCCTTCCCCCATGCACTGCGTGCTCGACTTCTAGAAAACGACGAGTGGTTTGGGAACCAGCAAACATGGAAGCATGCACTCGACACATGTCCGCGAGTCCTTGGCCAAGCCGGCTGATGGTCCCGGGTGCGGTTGCGGGGCGCATGGACGCAAGCCAGCGAGTAGCACGTCCCGTTTCGCAAGAGAAGCCAATGTCTTCACTTTACAGCACTGCCATGGCTATTGTCGCAATGGAATAAATAGCATGTCAAGATGGTCAGACGGAGCGAAGGCGCGATTATTTATTCGATGACGTTTCGGGGCGAACTATGGCGACAAGGACTGAGACCAGCATTCATCCTGATGGCAAACGGAGCCCGAAACCACTTGGCCGCTGACCGGAAAATCTTCCGCAACTAGCGGCATCCATTCTTATATGTGTGGGAGCAGGTACCTTTTCCACCTGCCTCTTCCAGCGCTACGATATTGTCTTCCCCGCAACCGGGGGTCGTTAACCCGAGACGTCCGGTTCCTGACCGGGGTCGGCAATATGGAGTCCAGCACAGCTGTTGCTTATACGGGTCGTCCGGATAGACGGAAGCGCCTCGATTCAGGCACTTTTGCTCTGCTGCGCTGAGAAGCACCGGGCCGGGCAGTGTTTCATCGGTATAGGATCCGCCGGCCGGCTTGGCCGAGTACGTCAGACGCTCTCTCGCCTACATGGGAGAGCTTTAAAACCCCCTCGAATCCCCTCCATGGCGGATGGGATATCATAGGAACCAGCAAGACCCGTCCCGTCCCGTCCAGTCAGCAGCATTCGTCAAACACACATCCCCGACGTCACTCATCTCCAACCAACCAACCAACCAAACAACAAAAACAAAAACAACATGCCCAGCCACCTCTCCAAACTCCTCGCACTCCCGTCAATCGCCGCAGCCGCAACCGCGCCCGCAGCCGCGGCCGACCTCCCCGCGGCCTTCTTCCTCGCGGGCGACAGCACGACGGCGACGGACGGCGGGTGGGGGGACGCGTTCCTCGCGGCGACGCTCGCGGGCGGGGCGTGGGGCACCAACTTCGCGAAAGGCGGGGCGACGACGGCGAGCTTCCGCGCCGGCGGCTACTGGGACTCGACCATCGCGGCCGTGAGGAACGTGTCGGCGGGCGGGGAGTATGAGGCGTGGGTGACGATTCAGGTATGTGTTTGTCTACATCTTTCCCGAAGAGGAAGAAGAGGAGGAAGAGGGAGAAGAGGAAGAAGAGGAAGAGGAAGAAGAAGTGTACTACTGGTGGATTGGGAGGAGGAGGTGTGAAATGTGGGGATACAGTGTGATGACTCGTTGCTTTGGTGCAGTTTGGTCACAACGACCAGAAAGCTTCGGCCAACATCACGATCGAAGAGTTCTCAGCCAATCTCGGGGCGTTTGTCGACGAGGTGCGCGACGCGGGCGGCAACCCGGTAAGTGTTCCTCGGTGCCTGTATACCTAGAAGACGTACAGGCAGACGGATGGGCTGGCTGACGGGGTGGGTGCGTCGAACGAAGATTCTGGTTTCGTCGCTGTCACGTCGCGGCTATTCTGGCGACCCGGAGCGCATCGTGGAGAACCTGGCCAACGAGACGGCGGCGGCGCTGGCGGTGGCCGAGGAGAAGGGGGCGCTGTCCATCGACCTGAACAGAGCATCGACCGACTACCTGAACGCGATTGGCAGCGCCGACGCTTGGACGTACAACCTCACCCCGGACGACAAGACGCACCTGAACGAGGCGGGGGCGGCCGTGTTCGGCAACATGGTGGCGTGGCTGCTGGACAATAGCGCTGAGGGCGGCCTTCTGGCGCAGTACAGCGTGGCGGGCGACGGGTACGTGCAGGCGTTTGAGAGCGGCACCTTCATCGCCGAGTAGCGCGGGGAGAGTAGCGCATTGCTGAGGTGAGAAGGAACGAGGGGGATTGTTCCCATGCCGGGTTGGACCTGGACCCTGGTGGAGCAGCTTCTCGGTCCTTTGGGGCAGATCCAAATAAATGAAGGCGACGCGTTTCCCCACTCAAATGGTGAACAAGCATTTCTCATCGGATGCGGTCCGGCGGAAGGGCGGGCGCGCGGTGTGCATCCCGGGCCGCGCCAACGCCCGATGCGGCAATGCTCTTCAGCCTCCTGGCAGATCACCAACCTCGTTGCAAGATCTGGTGATTACTCCCTACCTAGTTTGCTGCCCCCCTAACACGTCATATGCAGTGTGCTGCCTCCAGCCCGAGCGTCCAAACCAAGCTGCATCCAGGGAAAACCGCTCAACATGCTGACGTCGATCGAGATGCGCAGACGTGGCGCCGAACATCACTTGCCCATCACTTGCCCATGACATCGCTCCTGCTGCCAATTAATTCCTGCTCACATGTCTCAGACTGTTTTCCACGCCACCGACCATCATCATCATCATCATGCCACGCACTAGACCGTCACTGTTGTCGACCAAAGAGGCGCTAGCTTAGGATTCGAGGGTTCCATTATTGTTTATACATTAGAGGGAGCTGAGCTAGCAAACCCCCCCACACAAGCAGTAAAGCGTAAGTCTATCCATGAAATATCTCCAACGACCAGTCATAAGTAACCATTCCAGCTCCCATACCAAATGCATACATCTGCCGTAGTCGTTTACCGGGTCGCGCCCACAACCTTGACCTGCTTGCTCGCCTGGCTGTCGTCCTCGAACGAGACCTCGGCCGTGTACATGGCCCGGCCGCCGTCCTGGTCCGCGGCGTGGAAGACCATGTGCTTGCCGTCATGGGCCACCGTCGCGCCGCCGGGGGCCGTCAAGCCCGCGACGCCCGTGACGGCAAACGGGCCGCCCTTGGTGTAGGGGCCCTCGACGCTGTCGGCCGAGGCGTAGCCGATGTCGTACAGGTCGGTGGCGTAGCAGTTTGAGCTGAAGAAGAGGACGTACTTGCCGGCCTCGGTGCGGAACAGGTAGGGGGCCTCGACGAGCGGGCCGTCGGCGGCGTCGCGGTCGAGGATCTGGCGCGGCTCGCCGAGCTTGGAGTAGCCGTCCGGCCCCACCTCCTGCAGCATGATCGGGGTCGGCACCTGCGGCGCCTTGGTGTTGCCGCACAGCCCGCCGTTGCCCGCGTTGTTGCCGTCGATCTTGTACACGACGTAGCGCCGGCCCGTCGCCTCGTCCTTGAAGCCGGCCGGGTCGATGGTGCCGCCCTGGTCGTCGTGGCACGCGAAGGCCTCGGGCAGCGGCACGTACGGGCCCTGCGCGCTGGTCCCCACCGCGGCGCCGATGCAGTGCCGCGGGCTGTCCTTCTTGGCCGCCGAGTAGTACAGCACGTACTGGCCCTGGTCGTTCATCTGCACGTCGGGCGCCCACACGGCCGGCGGCGCGTTGGACCACGGCCACCGGCCCTCGAGCAGGTTGTTGACCGTGTCGAACAGGTTGTCCATCTTGGGCTGCGCCGTCCACGCCCCCGCGTGCGGCAGCGCGTCCCAGTTCTCCAGCACGTTCCAGCTGGAGAAGTCGGTCGACGTGGCCACCCGCACGTTCTGCTCGCCGTTGTTGGTCGCGAACGCGTACCACGTGCCGTCTTCGTAGTGGAGGCCCGGGTCCGCAAACTGCTTCGGGAGCACCTTTTGCGTCTTGAAGTGCGGCGGCTTGGCCACGGCGGGCGTGTCCGACATGTTGGTCGGCGCCGCGTCCACGCAGGAGAGGGAAGAGGCCGACAGCAGCGCTGCCGCGGCGAAACGAGTGTAGAACATCATGATGCCTGGAGTCTTGAAAACGAGTGTGGTGGGTTTGGAACTGAGGCTGCTGCAGGCAAGTCGAGGCTGTGATGGGCTGTGATGGCCGGGGAAGTGCTCTGGGGAATTGCTGTATTTATGGTCCAGCACCGCGCCCGATGCTGGAACCCTTCGAGAAGCCTTTCAGGCTTGCAATCTTTACCCGCTTTGGCAGTTGGATGCTCTTGGGCGCCCAATTGATCCACGCTCCCGTGGCCAGTCCAGATCAACACCAACCCCTGGGACTGCTGGTGATCGCCTCGCCCTGTGGGTCTTGTTGATCGCAACCCTGCATTCACCGACACTTAACCCTCCTGAGCCGCCCGCGCTGATTTAGCACCAGCAAATCCTCACCAGCAGGCTGCCATCCTGAAGTTCCGCAATCATGCAAGTTACAGCCACATTGATGCATTGCCGTGACGTCAGCCCATCCTTCCCCATCCAACGCGCACTTGAGCTAAACTGCCCCGCGCGCCAGCAAAGCAAGCTTGATTACATGTGGGACTCTATCAGCATAGGCCAGGATAATATTACTGAAGCCCTGTGCGACGCCCGCTTGGGTCACCATCACACAATAGAGTCCCCGCCGCCGCTCTGCAAACGGAATCGCCCAGTCTGTGCTGCTCTCCAGAATCCTTCTCCGCCTTCCTAGCCATCACGATAACCTTCTCCTTGCCCTACTCCAGAATCACGCAATGCCGTGCAGCGCGGATCCATCTCGGTCAGGGGGGGCCGAGACGCGTAATGCCTCCCCTCTGCACGTGATGGCACTGGTCAATGCTACCACCGACTGAGCCAACCAACTCACTTCAGCCTCACTGAAGTTCCCAATCCGTCTCTTCTTGCAGGGTCCCACCACTGATCTTCGAGGCACGTCCGGACTGAATCTGCGCTGAGGACTGGACGGGGGGGGAAGCCTTTACCGGGTTCGGTAGCTCAAATGCAATCACTTTCGAATACCAGTCATGATCCCAGATCAAATCCAATCAGCCCTTGTTGAGATTTCCGTCCTTTGTATTGCTATCCATAACCATGCGGAGCAGAGGCCATAGTGTACATACGACCCGTGGAACTTGATGAAGAACCCTGGTCCATAGCATCACCATGGAAATTTATGGGAATACAAACAGGTCTCCATGGAAGCCAAAAACTCTGCATGGTAAGTATTAGCGGTGCCACATCTTTACGTGATTCGCTCATTCTTTTGAGTGTAGTTCCTGCGCAATGACAGGGGTTTCTGTGGAAAAGCTGTAAAAGTGTGATTGAATTCCTCAATGGGGTTCCTCACTTCTTCGCCTTGTGAGTGACGGTTAGAGCCCTTCACCGTTGCAGGGGGATATAATTCCAACGTGTCTTGCCGCATTTCGTTCTCGATCTCTCTTCTTCTTTCCAAAGAGAACAGCTCGACAAGAATAGCTGGGCTGCCTGCACGAGACAGTGCCCCAGACCACCACCAAGCAAAATTAACTCATGAACTTAGAGATACCGGCATGCTCTCGGCCACAGGTAAGCAAGGGCCAATGGCCCCGCTTTCAAGGTATTATAGCCCCCGCGCTGCCCACCAGCTATGGGCATGGTCTGAGCCCAACGCTTTCCTTCGGCCACCCAAAGCTTGTGAGCAAATTTTCTGCCATGTCTCTACTGATCATGTCATAGACACAACAACTTGTTTTGGTCCATTCAAAGTCATTTGGATGGTCACAGAAGTGTGGACTCCAAATGATTGTGCAAGGACTTTGGTCACCAAATCCTCCCTGTCCTGCTCGACAGTCTCCAGTTTTGTTACAGGAACAAGACAATCAGTTGGCCGTTGCGCTGCACTTCTTGAGCGAACGGGTGCTGGGAGAGAATTCGGCACCCTTTATAAGCTGCTGCATGCCGTATGTTCCACAACATATAAAGTAGCCGTCGTACGGTTTGACCTGGCGTTCACCACCTCCAGGCTCCAGCAGTGACTATCGCCGGAAGTCCCATCGAATCCATGTTTCCCACAGGGATTGCCCTTCTGGGTAGAATTCCCAGGCCAACGAATGTGGAGCTGTCGAGTCGAGAAACATCCTGTCTCTGTGGCGAGGCGTATCACCTTCCAAGCCAAATTACTGGATAGGACGACGTTGCTCGGAGGCAGGTTGTCCAGGGTTATGAGCATTGGGACGTCGTATACGAGGAGGAGTTTGACCTTATCAAAAGCGACTGCATGAGTGCTTCGCGATGCGCCCGGTTTGGGCTGTACGCTCGAATTTGTCCCCGGTGTGCTTCTTGCCTATGAGCATGAGCTTCCAGATGACTGGCGGACCCAGCAGGGTCCTCTTCAGCAACGTGCCATCTTGTTCAACCCCCTTGTTGGGCCATGAGCTTGCGAGCGCTGCCCCTTCATTCGTTCATCTAGATAGCAGTAGCGTGTAATGAGACATCCAGAACGACGAGCTTCTGCCTGTGACCGTCTGCCATCACCATCTGACAGATGACGTGATCAAGAGGGGTGGGGTGTTCTGTCCAAGTGTGCTACCTAGCCGGTAGGTAGCCACGGGGCGCACGAGCCAGGTGGCGATCAGGCTACTCCTTGCAACAACCACTACGCCATCTTCTGCTGCCACCACACCCTGTGCAATGGCCATGTCGCTTCTCAACCGTGCGTGGAGGCCGCTTTTCGGCCGCGCGTGGAAGCCGCTCGCCTTTCCAAACAAGGGTTTTGCCCTGCTCCCCGGAGACAAAAAGGTCGAAGAGGAGATCCTTCCGGACTACGTCGCATCCCGGTACTATCCCGTCCGGATCGGCCAAATCTTCCGGCACCGCTATCAGGTCGTGGGGAAGCTGGGCTTCGGAGCGACTTCGACCGTGTGGCTGGCACGGGATCTGACGTGAGTCACACATTCCGTTTCCCTACATGACGCCTGCTCGCTCAGTCGTTATTGTTTCCAGCGCATGTCGGCACGTCGCTCTCAAGCTCTTCATCCATTCCGAGTCCATGGGAAGCGAGCTGGACACCGAACTTGACGTTTACAAGCGCATCGAGAGCGTCTCTGAGAACCACCCGGGCCGTGATGCCGTCCGCTCCATTCTCGACTCGTTCGACGTCGACGGGCCCGAGGGGCGGCATCGATGCCTCGCGCACCCGCCGCTCTGGGAGAGCGTGCTCGGGCTGAGGCATCGCAACCCCGTGCGGAGGCTGCCGGCGCCGGTCGTAGCGTTTGTGCTGCAGCGCCTCTTCCAGGCGCTGGACCTTCTGCATAACGAGTGCCGTGTCGCGCATACTGACATCAAGGAAGCCAACGTGCTGCTCGGAGCGGATGAATCCGTGCTCAGAGACTTCGAACGGCAGGAGCTCGCGGACTCTTGTCCGAGGAAGGAGTCCGACGGGGGAACCGTCTACCTCTCCCGCGAGCTCGGCACGCCCAGAGACTTCGGTGCGCCGGTGCTGTGTGACTTTGGCTCGGCCGTGCCGCTGGACGACGGCGCCGAGCACCGGGAAGACATCCAGCCTGATGTCTATCGAGCGCCAGAAGTCATTCTGGATATCCCGTGGACGTACAGCGTCGACATATGGAACGTGGGGTGCGTGGTAAGTATCGATAACGTGACCAAGTGCGCTCTGGCTGACACCTCTCTTTCCACTCGCAGGTCTGGGATGCCTTCGAGGGCGAGCACTTGTTCACCGGCCACGATCCAGAATTCGAGACGTATCGGGGCCGAGCCCATCTCGCCGAAATGATAGCCCTTCTCGGGCCTCCACCGCCGAGCCTTCTTGCCCGGGCGAACCTCAGGAGCAAGTTTTTTTCCGAGGCTGGTAAGTCAAGCGCTCTCTAGCTTCTAGAATGATCCTTTTTCGCTAACCATGCTTTTTTTCTTCTTCTTTTCTCTCAGGTGACTTTTGTGCGGGGATACCCACTCTAGAATCGACACCACTCGAGCAAAGGGAGACATCTCTCGAGGGAGAAGACAGAAAAGAAGATAGAGAGTGTTTCCTACGCTTTATGCGGAAGATGCTGCAGTGGGAGCCGGAAAAGCGCAGCTCTGCCAGGGAGCTGGCAGAAGACGAGTGGATACTCAAGCACACCACCTGAGGGCGGCGAAGCATTTTGATGGAACATAAGCTCAGTCGTCGCTGGGTGAAGTACGGGTGCTGTTGCGGATGCTGGATGCTGGGATTCGGCGCGTTGAATGCGCGGGTCTAGACGGCAGGTCTGCCACGGGGGTGCATCTGTCTATTTGCTGGGCTCAAGACGTATGCGCAACTCCACTCTGGATCCACTGGATTTTTATCAAATCGTTTATTGAGTTCAACGTAGTGGGTGTTGTTGCCGTCTTCGTCTTGGCCAGTGCGTTCGGCTTCTTGAATCTCGTCTTCCATTGGTTGACATGTCGAAGTCAACACATCTTTTTCAAGCGTTTGCTTTTCTTTTAGATGTTGCTGCAGTACTTGTTCATTTCGTCAAACAGCTCCAGGTCTGCATCGAAGATGGCTGTGCAGACTCGGGGTCGTTTCAGATGCGTGCGTCGTTTGATCACTTCGTCCGTTGTATGCTCGATATCGATGAACCATTGGCCCCTCTGGATCCAGCCCCAACACGTTGATTTCCATGTGCGCCACACTCGCCCAAGCCAGCGCTTTCTCGTTCCCCATCGCCGGACGCATCATCGGCCAGATGAAATGGCTCTACTTTGGAAACTCGCGCCGGCCGTTCTTTGATGAGCCTGCAGCTATGTGTAAGCCATTTCACATGGACTACACCGGATGATGGCAGCGCTGTCAATAAGACATTCAAGACGTTTTTGATCTCAGTCAGGCCAACCGAGCCTTCTTCTGGCCGCGCACGTCCCTTACCTCAACTGCACCTACATTCCCCCAGAATGATAGGTTTCCCTCGATCGTAGGCTTGTTGGAATCACCATATTTCACCACGCCATCCTTTCGAGGACACTTGAACATGCTTTATTGATTGTTGACTACCATCTAATCGATAAAGTAATATGGTGGCAAGAGACCTGAGCGGAACCAGAATGTTAGCTGACCGCTCTCCTTGTGCATGTTGAACACGTTTGGTAGTGTGGTTGTCAGAAAAGGATTTGGTACGAATAGCTGATTATCCGCAATTTGTTTCGGAAGGGGAATCGCTAAATCATCATTTGAAGCAATGTGGAGAAGAAAAGTTGCACATACCTTTTGAATGTTCAGAAATGAGTCGCCTTTTGTGAAACAAGTATTAACAAGGACACAAGGGATGAAGTAGAATATCATGGCTTTTTTGTCGTCACTACGGACCACTACGCAAAGGAAGTGGGTTTAGAGTTACAAAAGTCGTAACCGAACCTTTGATCTGTCCCACCAAACTCCTCCAGCAAAACTGTATGCTCAATGCCCGATGCCGTCAGCGGTATAAAAAAAAAAGGAAAAAGGAGAACCCGTATCACATGAAAAGAAAGACGCCAACTAGATCTGGGTATGAAATAATCTAGTCAACCTCCTCCATGGCGCTCTCGCCGGGAGCCTCGGCCGAGACCTCCTCAGAGGCCGTCTCCTCGGCCGTCTCAGCCGACTCGTCGACGTTGAGGCCCAGCGAGACGAGCTTGTGGATGCGCTCGGCGAACTGGACGGGCTCCTCGATGGTGAAGCCCGAGACGAGCAGAGACGTCTCGAAGAGCAGCTGGGCAATGGACTTGACAGTGCGGTCCTCCTCGCCGTCCGTCTCGACCTTGCGCTTGAGCTCCTTGACGATGGGGCTCTTGGGCGAGATCTCGAACGTCTTCTTCGAGCTCATGTAGCTGGACATGGACGTGTCACGGAGAGCCTGGGCCTTCATGATACGCTCCATGTTGGCCGACCAGCCGAACTGGCCGGTACGGATGGCGCAAGGGGAGCCGATGAGCTTGTGCGAGACAACCACCTTCTCGACCTTGTCGCCAAGGACGTTCTTGAGGGCCTTGGCAAGAGGCTCGTACTCCTTCTCCTCGGCCTCGCGGGCCTTCTTCTCCTCCTCGCTCTCCTCAAGCTCAAAGTCCTTGGTGATGTCGACGAGCTTCTTGCCGTCGAACTCCTTGAGCTGAGTCATGGCGTACTCGTCAATGGGGTCGACCAGGAAGAGAACCTCGAAGTTCTTCTCCTTGAGGATGTCAAGGAAGGGAGACTTCTGGACGGCCTTGAGCGACTCGCCGGTGATGTAGTAGACCTGCTTCTGGTGCTCAGGCATGCGGGTGATGTAGTCGGTGAGAGAGGTGGTCTCATCACCGGACTTGGTCGAGTGGAAGCGGAGGAGCTTGGCCAGAGAGTGGCGGTTCTGGGCATCCTCGTGGATACCAAGCTTGATGTTCTTGCTGAAGGCGCTGTAGAACTTGTCGAACTGCTCGCGGTCCTCGGCAATCTCGTTGAAGAGCTCAAGCGTCTTCTTGACGACGTTCTTGCGGATGACCTTCATGATCTTGTTCTGCTGAAGAGTCTCACGAGACAGGTTGAGGGGAAGGTCCTCAGAGTCGACAACACCCTTGACGAAGCCGAGCCACTCGGGGATGATGTCGGTGGCATCGTCGGTGATGAAGACACGGCGGACGTAGAGCTTGATGTTGTTCTTGGACTTCTTGGTCTCGAACAGGTCGAAGGGAGCGCGCTTGGGAACGAAGAGGATGGCGCGGAACTCGAGCTGACCCTCGACAGAGAAGTGCTTGACGGCAAGGTGGTCCTCCCAGTCGTTGGACAGCGACTTGTAGAAGGAGGCGTACTCCTCCTGCGAGATGTCCTGGGGGTTCCTGGTCCAGATGGGCTTGGTCTTGTTCAGCTCCTCCTCCTCGATCTTGGACTCCTTGACCTTCTTGGTCTTCTTCTCCTTCTTCTCCTCCTCGTCGTCGTCGACCTCCTCGACCTTGGGCTTGTTGTCGTCCTCCTCGTCCTTCTTCTCCTCAGCCTCCTCGTCAGGGACCTCGGTCTCGGTCTCCTTGAGGACGTGGAGGTAGATGGGGTACGAGATGAACTCGGAGTGCTTCTTGACGACCTCCTTGATCCTGCTCTCGTTGAGGTAGTCGGTCTGCTCCTCCTTGAGGTGAAGGACGATCTTGGTGCCACGGCCGAGCTGCTCGCCCTCGGTGTCCTGGGCGATCTGGAAGGTACCACCGGCACTCGACTCCCAAATGTACTGCTCATCATCATTGTTCTTGGAGACGACGGTGACCTTGTCGGCAACGAGGTAGGCGGAGTAGAAACCAACACCAAACTGGCCGATCATGGAGACATCAGCGCCAGCGGAGAGCGCCTCCATGAACTGCTTGGTGCCGGAGCGGGCAATGGTACCGAGGTTGTTGACGAGGTCCTAGCTTCGAGTCAGCAACATTGTCTCGGGCGCAGCCAGGCATGCGGAAGCACTTACAGCCTTGGTCATACCAATACCGGTATCACGGATGGTGATGGTCTTGTTCTCCTTGTTGGGGATGATGTCGATGCGGAGGTCCTTGCCGCTGTCCAGCTTGCTAGGGTCCGACAGGGCCTCGTAGCGGATCTTGTCGAGGGCATCGGAGCAGTTGGAGATCAGTTCTCTCAGGAAGATCTCCTTGTTCGAGTAGACGGTGTTGATGATCAGGCCGAGCAGCTGAGAGATCTCAGCCTGGAACTCGAAGGTCTCACCCATGGTGGCGGATAAGGTGGAGAGGATGGGGTCCTGCAAAGCGAGCGGGGTTAGCGACGGTATCGCGGTGAAGTGTCCAGACTGCGCAGGCCCTGATTGAGGGACCGATGAAGACGCTGGGCTGCTCTGGACGAAGGCCGAGGGCGCAATGGTGCGGCGGTCCAGAGATAAGGCGGATGCGTCCAACGGACGAGGCTGGCAGGTGGTGGGGCAGGGCGAACTTACTATGAAGGGGTATAAAGTCTAGAAAAAGAAAACGTGAAGAGGAAGGGTTTTTTGGGAGGTGCACCGTGATGCGACGGGCTTGTTGAGAGGTTTGTGTAGTGGAGAGGGAAGAATTTGGTGTGCAGCTTCTGTTCTTATTCTCAGCGCGCCAGCATCACCGAACCTTCTGGATAGAGCTCGGGACCGCAGCTGGCTCGTGCGCACAAGCACGAAAGCGGCTAGTGGCTACCACCGCCCGCCGTGCCGCTTCCTCACCAGGGCAAAGATGATGAGGCTGCGCTCCACGAGAGCCGCACTGTCAGCCTCGGTCCCTCTGTTTCCAGAATCCTCCAGCATTGTTGAGAACACAGTGCCCCGTCACTGTCTGGGCGCCGTCCTGCACTGCAACTCCAGTCCAAAGTCCTGAGAAGCGGTGCCTCGTCGTGCGCTGCAGACAAGTGCGAGGCTGCAGCGAGGCTAACAGCAGATGCCGTTTGCTCAGTTGCAGGCTGGCAGCGTTGGCGCCCGTGTGTTTGCTGCTGTCATCACAGCTGTCTACAGCCTCGCCGTCCAGCCCTTGTTGGGATGGTTCGAAAGCTTCCATCGCCTTCGAATGCCCAAGGCAGATCTGCATCGAAAACCCCTCGCCCTCGCTCTTGCGCTTGCCTTGCCTTCTCGCCTTTGGATGCCGGCCATCCCCACCTTGCAGATACCAGCAAGCCTCAGCCTCAATGGCCCAGGCGCCGATCCGGCTTTGGACCCTGAACGCCTCCCTCAGATAACACGGTAGATCCGCAGTCAAGCCCTAGCGCCAAACCCACCAGACCTGGGGAACTCGCCAAGAATCAGACCTCGAGAGACTGTATGTGTGACAGCCTCATTTCAGTTCGAGAACTGGCTGCCTTTGGACGTACGTTTTCACCCACTTCGCCTCTTAATCGCAAGGTGCTTGTGAAATCTCTTTGCCCTCGAATGATAATCGCCTATTTCTCTGAGATACTCTCGTCAATTCGCTTCCGCGATAACTCCTGAATCTAGGTCATGGACGTGCTGTGACCATTTTCTGCATTGGCCATCTCTCGAGAAATTTCGATATCCGTGGCGCACTGGCTATTGAGAATTCGTATGGGGTTTCGGGAGCGCTTTCAGCACACCCATTCACAGCACCCCATGATAGGCACCCAGACAAAACAATCATACAAATGGATCTTGGTGCATTCCCAAAGAACCCAGTTTTTTAAGGGCTGTAA